AAAATATTAATAAAGAAATATTCAAATTCTATTTATGTAATACAGTTGCAATAATTTACCCTTAATATTATTCGTTTAATAAATCACAGAACAAGTAACATGTTAACAATTGCTCTTTTGCATACCTTTAAAATGTGTTTACTGAATATGATATTTAACTCTCATTTAATTCATATTATGTTATATTATATATCTTTTTGTGATTATTCGTAAGAATCACGTTATATACTTAAATACTCATATTGCTTTTATGCAGAAACTGTCTGAAACTCCTGAATAATATCGAAAGTGATTTAGTAGAGAGAAACAAGATCGCTATAAAAAAACAAAAAATTAATCATGCAAATAGAATCATTCGTCATGATATAGGAGGAATAGATCATATATATATCCATTATGATGCTAAATTTTGACTTAATGAAAGAGATCAAAAGAGCTTGCATGCTTCTCCAACTTTTGCAAAACATTTTTAAATCACATGATCTAAAACCTGATTTATTAACAATATACTCCCATTATAGAGTAACAGGTTAACAACTAGTTATTAAATAATAAGTTATTTTAAATATTAAAAAATTAAAAATTGATATATATTAATAATTACTAATTTAAAAATTTAAAAAGACTATCATTAGATATATCTTAATATATCAAATTTAAAAACTTTATTTCATTTTTTTATGATCATTAGATATTAAAATATTATAATTTTTTTATAATATTTTATAAACAAATTTATACTCATAATTTAAGAAATAATATATTATATTTAAAGATATTAAAAAATATTAATTAATATAAAAAATTCTAATAAATTTATTAATTCAAAAAAAGGTTTTATTTTATTAGCAATATATTTTATTTTATAATAATAATATATTAATTAAATCTTATTAAAAATATAATAAATTTATTCAAAAATTTTAAAACTTTATTTTTAAATTTAAAATTAGGTTTTAAAAATTAAATTTTAACATAATAATTTCATAAATATTATTAATTTTCAAATTCATTAACTGATTATAAATAAATAATATAATTATATTATTTAGTCATAATTAGTTTAAATTAGATTATTTAGTAATAAAACAACTTTGATATAACTAAATAATTTAAATATAACTAAATAAACTAGATATAACTAAATAATTTAAATATAACTAAATAATCTAAAGTTAATAATCTAAATATGTTTAAATGATCTAATTAAATAACTTAAGTATAATAATTTTTATACCTTCTTATTGTTTCTTTTATATTCTTTACTTTGAAATCACTTTTTTTTACTTTTTTTCTATTTATTATTTGTGATCATATGATTAAATAACCTAAATACAACTATAACTAAATAATCTGAATATGTTTATTTTTATTATTTACTGTTTATAATAAATATTCTTTATTATAATTAGTAATGTTGAAGATGCTAACCTTTCATATTTATTTGGATGCCAGCTCCTATATTGAAGGTACTAACCTTTTATGCATATTTGGTATTTAATTCTCTGTCAAGAATGTTAACTTTTTATACATAATTTAAATATTAGCTTTTAAGTTAATAGTTTCAATCTTCTATATATGTTTAGATATCTAATTCTTTATTGAAGATGCTGATTTCTGTATTTATTTAAATGTTAAATTTTATACTAAATGCTTACCTTTTTATATTTGTTTAGTTGCCTGTCAAATATAAAAAAAATTATGCTAAGTAGTACCAGTTTGTGAGACTGCAGAATGTTAATATTATTTTTTCTTTGCATCAGTAATGAATATTAAGAAAATTTACTAAGAAAAAATTAGATTAATATAAAATTAAAGATCAAGATTATTCTGTATAATTCTCAATATGTATTAAACTATGTATCTTATTTATAATTTTTAACTGATCTAAATATATTGTTATTCTCTTTTACTATCACTTTCTTATATTTATTTACAGTTAATATTTATTTGTAAGATTTTTTTACTAAGGTTATTATTACTTAATGCATCTTTATTATTTTATGACACTAAATAAGATTTCTTGATATAAAATGACACAATATATTTGTTTGCAAATTATATATTCTGACCATAATCAATTATAAATCAATTAATATTAAAATAAATTAAATCTATATTAGAAAGTTTTAAAGGGATTGGATTATTCTGCTTTTTAATATCCTGATCACTAATTATATATTTAAGTCTAAAACTTTCATTTTTCAATTCATTAACTTGTTCTTTTAATAAATCTATTTCTAATGCACATTTAATATTTTTCATATTAGTGAATTCAATTTGCAATTTGACGATGGGTCATCATTGAAATTTCACTCATGTGATTTTTTATATTAAACTTATTATCAGAAATATTATCAATGATTTTTTGAATTTATTCGTTGGTTAATTCTGAAATAGAATTTGCACTATATGCTTTAAGATACTTAATTTTATCTATATTTATTTTTTCAAATAATTTATAAGTCTTTGTATTTTTTACATAAAGTTTTATATCAGATTTCTAGGAGCTGTAATCCCATTTTCTTGGATCTTTTTCATAGATAATAGTAAGGTGCTCTAATATTTTATTATATATTATACTCTTTGCCTTTTTCTTGCTAATTTTACCATTACTGTTTTATATAAAATCATTATACTAAATTATGAATTCTTTTCCATAGTTGATTCAGCATAAGATTTCTTCCTAATTAGCTTTTATAGCATAATATTCAGCATTAGTTGCTTTATTAAATAATTGAGTTAAATTAAGTAATGAAATTGTAGAAGAATTTTGATGAGACGTTGCTGAAATTTTAGTAACATAATTTGGATCTGAAAGAATGTTATCAGTAGAATTATGCACAAGTGCATTCTGAATACCATCAGCTATTACTTATACAATATTCTTTATTTCTTTTTCGAGAAGAAGTTGAACTTTTCAAAAAATGTGATAGATGTAGATCTTTTGCTCTTAATAAAAAAATCAATGTACTGGAACATCAAGTTAGACATTTTGAGAATATTTTTTTGTCTTTAGTTACGCTTCAGACATCTTCAGTTAGACTTATTTTGATTCAATATCTATCTGCATGCGTGATCGACTAATAAGATATATTGTTATATTGTCTTGTCACATGATCTGATTTCTAGATCATGTATATATCACGTTTAGTTTAGTAATTATTTATACGTGTTATATATAGTTTTTTCAGATACTTATTTTGCCTGTTAACCATTACTTGTAACGGGTTTGCATCTAGTATAATATAGATAACTTTGTTTCTTTTGCTAACTGTGCTAAATTTTTTTTCTTTTATCCCTATAAAATAGAATGTATCCTGTAAGATATAGTCTGATATAAGATGGGCAAAAACTACGGTTATTCTTTATCAGAAGGTATGTTGTGACCAGATCTCTTACAGAAGACAGTATGATTACTAAGTGTTTTGAGGAACTACAGTTATTCCATAAGCTCTCAAGTTGTAGCTCACACTTAGTTGTCAAGAGTTATACTATAAGCACGTACCCAGAATGCAAGTTTTCTTTTTGATGCCTTGTAAGTATCCTAAAGCAGAGTTCTAATTATACTAAACCTTAATTTGTACTAATACTCATTTTGTTATTGAATATTCTAGCGAAAGGATTACTTGATCCCATATGTTAGGCCACAGACAGGATTGGTCAAAAATTACAGTTATTCCTACAGTGACACCTGTCGTGACTTGTGTAATGGAAGACAATGCGCTAACTGATCATTCTGAAGAACTACGGTTATTCCATAAGCTCTTTCAAGAGTTGTGGTTCATGATCGGTTGTCAAGAGTGTATTGTGTGCTCAATTACTACCGCTTGGTCTTTTTTATAAATCAAGCTATCATCATCGCTTTTGGATTTATTTTATTAAAGGTAATATCATTTTTATATACAATTGATTAAAAGACCAACAAGGAAATTTACTTTATTTTTCTACTCTTTATCACATGCAAACAGCAAAATGCATATACTTAATTCAAGCCTAATGAGTGAATGTAGATACTAAGACAGCCGGATAAAATCTGCTTTGAAAGGCATTATTCTATGGCTCTACAATTAATCAGGGTATGATATTATTATTTTTTCTATTTTTATTGAAATAAAATTCAAATATTCGAAAATACATAATTAATATTCGAATATTTGAAATCAATTTTGAAAATCAAATTCATTTCGGATATCGAATATCAAAAATCATTTCTGTTATCATTTCAATCATTTCGATCGATCTTATCGATTGATTATTTATTTTAAAATAAATGAAAAAATAAAAAATAAAAAAAAGAATGTAAAAAAATAAAACTAAAGCTTACCTAATCAAAAAATTTAAAAATATCGAAAACACCAAAAAACAAAAAAGGAAAATGCAAAAAAAAAATATATATATATACAATATCGTATATCCGAAATGATTTGGTATCCGAATTGATTTTCGATATTCGAAATCAATTCGATAATCCGAAATGACTTTCGATATCCAAAACATTTCGATATTCGTTTGAAATGCAATTTGTAATTCAAACGGAAACCCTAGCGGAGATAGATTGTATAAAGAGCATAAATAAAGTACCGTAAAATGTATAAAATTGTTAAATCGTGTAACTATTCTCCTTATTTGAGACGGTTCCTCCTGAAACATAATGTATTACAATCAGCATCTGCTCTTGCAATTTATTTTTTATTAATAAAAGAAAAAAGTATATTTCTGATCCAGATTTTTTATTTCGATCCAGAACTTACACCGACCACTTTGCCAATAAAGATATCACAAATATGACACTACAGCAAAGTTACACACGTGGTGATATTGGCCAATTAAAATAGCAGATATTCTAATGCAATAAATTTTATTATTTTAATAATGCTAATAATTAAAGATGTATTAATGTATTCTACAATTTATCTAGAAAAAATAAAAACCCCCTTGCCACATTATTCCTGGACTAATTCTTTTAAATAAAAACATCACACAGTTTTTTTAATACTTCAATGTTATTTTCATCTGCAGCAGTCAACATCTCTTTCCATAATGGACGATCATTTAG